CTCTTCCATCTGTTTTGTCTGCTTGGGTCACTGAGATTTCCTCTGGGTCAGGCTGCAGGTACGTGCCCAGTAATGATTCTATTTTATAATACAAATATAATAAAAATAAACATTGTGTTAAGCAACATTTGCTTTATAGTTATTTTTTTTTACTATATTTGTGTTATACACTTAAATCATTACTTCCTGAAAATCAGCCATTTAGCCTCAACATAGTGATGAGGTGGGGTGTGTGATGAGCTGGTAAGTGGAAGCAGTAATGAGTTTAATAGTTGAAACACCAAAAGATTAAGGATAGAAAATTAAGTTGTACCTGCACACTTATACTTTGGACAAATTTTATATTATCAGTGTCCTTTAGTGACTGAAGGAGCTTTAAAATCGGCTGCAATTAATGCACACAATAGCATTTAGAAACCCTGAAAAAAAATATTTAAAAAATGTAGGTGTGTGTGCGTGAATGTATATATAAGAACAACGTCCTACATCTTAAATTAAAGATATATTTTCCTACAAAAGACAAAGCTGCCACTTATAATATTATACAGAAAAATGTGAGGGTGCAGAAGGAGAGAAAAAACACAAGATCTGTAAGTGAGATTCGAACTCGCTCCGTTGTGCGCTCCGTTGTTCTTTATCGACGCACTGTCCACTACGCTATTCCCGTGGTCTGAATCATCTGTGTAATGATACGCAGTAATGTATGACCAAGGAACTGTACAAAAGTGTAAAAAACTGTTCAGTGCCAGGCATACTCTACAGGTGGTCCTACTGCCACATTGTACAGTTGCCTAAAATGCCCTGACGCGAATACAAAGAGCTGCACTGAATGTTTTTTATGGTAAGCGCAGACCCGCGGTTTGTCACATTTGATTTCAAAAAGGTTTGTTAAATACATTAACATTATGAATTTGGTAATGAAAAAAACTATGCACTTATAACCCTCTCACAACAAAAAAACTTGTATCTGTGTGTCCACATCCATAAATATTCTCATCAAAAGAGCACGCAACGCTCAGTAAACTCTCTGAAACAGACAAACTCTGAAACATAGCAACTTACTCTCTGAACATAACCTGCTCCGAAGCAGGTTATCTTCAGAGAGTAAGTTGCTATGGCTACTTAACATACCCAGAAGTTACCTCCGATTTTGGAACCAAAGTTGAGGTTATCCACCTACTTACTCTCAAACTTACCCGTGTATGTCACATAACCTGCTTTCTGGAACAGCCCCCAATTGCTGCTCGGAAATGGCTATCTTTGCTCAGCATCAGGTGCACAGCAGCAAGAAGCTTGGCAGTGAACTATGACCTTATTTTAATGACAAATGTCTAAGAATTCTGCTAATTTACATTTTTATTTAATTTATACATACACAATGAATGTAAGCCTGCTAAGTGTGTGGTTCAAATAATAGAATATGTAAACTTAGTTTGTATATAATTAAATAATAATAATAAATAAAAGCCTGCGTGTAAGGCTTTTATTTTGAGGGGGCGACGTCACGAGCGCAGATTTGGTTGACCAATTAGAGGAAAGTGGGCGTTTCAGCACCGCCTACATGTGTAAAATGAATTTTAAAGTTGTTTATCCGTTTTCCTACCCTAAACCAAAAAACGAATATCCAGCCAAAATCTCGTTTTTTCGTTTTCTCGTGAGCAAAAGAAAAACGGAAAAATGGACGTTTTCTCCATTTCCTTTATTCCATTTGAAAATGGAAAACAAATGAACAAAACGTACACGGACCTACACGGACCGAGTTGCTTCATTTAAACTAATATAGACATTTTGTTTCAGCCAGGTTTCAGTGAGACAGAGTGCATAAAGATTGTTATCTGTTATTATTTCATTGATCATAAGTGCTTTAGGTGCTAGTGACCTGGGGCCTCATGTATCAACGCTGCGTATGCACAAAAACTTTGCGTACGCCAGGTTTCACGCTCAAAATCGCGCACGTTTGGATTTACTAAAAATGAACTGAACGTGGGAATGTGCGCAGCTTCACGGCAGCTTTCTGGCAGGCGTACGCACATTTTTTGTGCGTGTCTGTTTTATTTCCATTGGCGACTCCTAGAGGCAGTTGTGTTAAATTCCTCTCTACAAAGTGTCTGAGTCTTGCAATGGCAGCTGTATGAGACGGGTTATCTAGTAGGTATGTAAGGTTTCCATACCATACAGTTGACCAGCCAAACATTAAAGCACAATTTGCAGCGGTCGCCTGTTTTCCCAATGTAATCTGAGCTATCTACCGCACGCACATTGCTATAAAGACACTATCTGAAGATGAATTTGCATGCGTGAATCAGAAACATTTCCATTCAATAAATGTGCAAATAAAATATGATGCACAAACTTATTGATGATTCCTACTTGTCTTTCTCGTGATAAATAGTGGGCAAAATCTGATATTTAGCGGGGAAAAAAAGAAGAAAGAGTTCACCAGACGCTGGATTCGAGCAGAGTTTATGCTCGAACGTGTTAATACTTGATCACATGCGCCTTACGAGGTGCGCCACAGAGACTGCTAAGGGTACTGCAACAAGTGTGTATAAACCACACTATTTCTTTTTTTAATGCACTCAGTGCAATGTTCAGACCCAACTGTGTTAACCGCATCAGCTAATCTCTCCCCACTCTATTTTTTTTCTTTTGTTGTTAATTCGGAGAACAAACTTGCAAATAACACCGCTTTTCTCCGGTCTACCTCTGAAAGCAGCACCTCCAATTCACATTCTGTTCAAAGTTTCTCTTTTTGCTTGATTTTGCCATTGCTTTTCCGTTGGGTTTTTCCATTAGCATAGTCATTAGCATATTCATACGGGGGAGAAGGCAGGGAGGGGTTTTGTGCTCGTGCATGCTGCGCTCAGTTTCACGGTCATTCGGATGTACAAAAGAGTATGCGTGAGATTCGGCGTACGCAGTGTTTCATACATCTGGGGCCTCATGTACGAAGACTTGCGTAGAAATCTTACTAAAACATTGCATACGCACAAAGCTGTAAATGTGCGTACGCAGAAAAAAATTCAGATGTATGAAACACTGCGTACGCCGAATCTCACGCTTATTTTTTGATCTAATAATCTAATAGTTCTCTGTGGAGATCTCGAACACGGGAGAAGTAGACGTTCTGCCCCGGGACATTGTAAGCACCTTACGCGGCTGCACTCAGGGACCGTGGCAGCCGGGTGTCGGCCTGAACGACACCTGGGTGAACCGGATCCTAGGTGCACTGGGCCTGGACAGAGGAACATGCGGGGTTGAGGTAGAGGGAGTGTTGTGGTTGTATCGTTCTCTTACCTCAGATGAGGTGGCCGTAGCATAGGGTACAACGAGCAGCTTCGCCCGCTTTACCTCGAGGGAGCGAATCTGGGACTCCACTGCTTCCACCTCCACCTCCAACGCCTCCATCGATGCTTCTCCTGCTCTCAAGGACAGACACACAAGCAACATTGTACAGGGTGAAGAGCAAGGCCAGTAAGTGAGAAAATGAGTGAATGGAAGAGGTTAGTGGTAGCTTTAGCTGACTAGCGGTGCTAGCAGGCTAAAGCTACAAACAACAAGCGGATGCTCGAAGGACAGAACGTTTTAAAGCAGATTTGTTTGTATAAATGTATTATGGGTTTGTTTACCCAAAGTAGGAGAGACAAATATTTAGCGAATGAGGAAGTATTTTATGATTAAAAGGTAAATTGCGAATCTAAACTCCAAACACACGCAGCGAGGCAACCAAACAGCGGCAGTGACATCAGTGACTGATGTTTTAGAAACAGAATATTGTAGAACACATAAAAAACCTTACATTGTATTCATAACATATTTATTTAAAACACATAATTTACAGTGGCTTTGAAAAAGTTCCAAATAAACATTATAATTTATGTAAATTTATCTTATTTTGCATAATTAAGGCATCATATAAACCAAAAGAAAACAGGCAAAGAAAAAAAATACTAACTAATAATGAAACAAATTGCAATGATGCAGCAGCTGGCAGATATCTGTTGATGTATTAATACTGCTGCTTACATTTTATTGTAAATGCATATTTTTTGTATAGTGCCAGGTGTGGAATGTGTAAATATTTTTATACATCCCAACATACCTGTTGATAATTAGAAATCATTCAATGTATTTATTTTTATTTTTGCTAATATAGACGCATGATTTTTTTCATGATGAAAAGTTGTCCCAGCTGATTGTTAAATAATAACAATAATAAAAACAACTTTTGAAGAAATACATTGTTTATGTTATTTTTTATATTTTACAAATGCTGTGTCTACCCCTTTGAAGATAACAAATAAGTATACCAGCAATCCAATTATATTTAATTATACATAATTTATTGTATGATTAGATGATTGAACACACTAAGTCACACTGTTTTTAAGTATATTGTACAGTATTTTATAGTGTGTTTATAAATACAAATGCTTTTATTTATTTTAGCAAGACTTTAAAACAGTTCAGTTAAATGAGGAGTTTAGGGCCAAATTCTTCAATGGAAGAAGGCAGTGCTGCGTCGTCCATTATTGTTTTAGTCTATACCCTAAGCTATTAAATGTGTCAATACACATTTTTACTCAGCTTCCCTAAAACTTTAGCAATTAGTTCAGCAAACTGCACGTGATTGCCTCTTCCTGCCCATTTTTTCAATGCAATTTTTAATTCACAGACAGTAGCGTCAAGGTTCAGTGATGGGGCGACAGATGTGTCTTTATCAATCGTTTGTTATATATCTTGTGTAACAGTTTTTGTCAGTATACACTGATAGAATATTGTTTTGAAAATATTTAAAAGACATGGCTAATGTGTTTTTATTTTGTTTTTATTAATGCAAACAAAAAGTGTTCTCTTGAGCATTGAAAAAGGTTTGTACCTTTTGTATTGTACAGTAAACAGGTGTGTTTGTGTGTGTTCGTGTATGTGTGTCCTCCTTTCATGTCCCTGCAGAGTGCAATTCCAGTTTATATATAAAGTTGCCCAGAGCTCCAGTTTCTATTTGAGGCTTATCTTAACACATTGTAGAGACTGAAATGAAGACGCCAGTCCTCCGAGCTATACATTTGGTATTTTTTTTATTCTACCCTATTCAGTCCAACTCAGAGGCAAATTGTAAACTCTGGAAGGAATTAGACTTGACTGTTGTGCACAAGGAGGGTGATGTAATTCTCGCAGGCATGTTTCCTATTCATTCCAAAGGCATTGACCAGGAGTTAAATTTTAGGAATCAGCCAGACCAGAGGAAATGTTGGGGGTAATGTAAAAAAAAAAAAAACTGTAGTTCTTATACAAAGAATACTATAAAGTGCACTATTGTTAATTTTGAATTTATTGTAAACTGTTTTAAGAGTTTTTTTGTTTTGTTTTGAGAATAAACAAATACTTGTATTTTTTTTTTACAGGTTTAACATGCGCGTTTTCCGCTGGTCTCAGGCAATGATTTTCTTCATTGAAGAGATCAACCGGAACCCCACTCTTCTCCCAAACATCACACTGGGCTATAGATTGTATGACACATGTGGGCTGATAGCGCTGTCTCTTAGGACTGCATTGTCTGTAGTTTCTCAACCCATGAAGAGGAGTAGCTCAGAGATGTGCTCTTCCCCGAGCATCCCCATCATTATTGGGGACTCTGGATCCACTCTGTCAATGGCCATTTCCAGACTCCTCAACCTTTTCCATATCCCGCTGGTGAGGGCAGATCAGCTAGGCAAAATAATTAGAAATTAAGGAACTCTGTATTGAAATTCACTTTGAATTATCTTTTGTTCAATTATCCTAATTTTTTGCCCAAATCTTTGCTTCAGGTGAGTTATTTTGCTTCATGTGCTTGCCTGAGTAATAAGCATCAGTTCCCTTATTTTTTTCGCACAATTCCCAGTGATGTAAATCAGGCAAATGCTCTTGCTCGTTTGGTGAAGCACTTTGGATGGACCTGGGTGGGCACAGTCGGGGCCGATGATGCTTATGGCCGCACCGGCATAGATCTTTTCACCGCTGCAGTGACACAGTTGGGTGTATGTGTGTCTTATAGAATAATCATACCCAAACTGCCAACTCAACAACAGTTGCAAGACATAGTCAGGACAATTCGTGATTCTTCAGCTCATGTGTTGGTGGCTTTTGCTATTGAAGAGGATATCAAGCCAGTAGTTGATGAAATAGTCTTGCAGAATGTGACCGGGAAGCAGTGGGTTGCCAGTGAAGCGTGGGTGACATCCACTCTTATCTCCACTAAAGAAAACTTTCCCTCACTTAGTGGCACCATTGGGTTTGCTATTCGCCGAGCTGAGATACCTGGCCTCAAACATTTCCTTGACAGCATACAGCCCCTAGCTGACCCATACAATGTCTTTGCAAGAGAGTTCTGGGAAACCCAGTTTCAGTGCACATTAAACACAAGTCTTCCCACTTCATCCACAATGGATCCAGTAAATTATAGCCACAGCTGTACTGGCATGGAGAGAATGCAGGACACTCAGAGCATCTTTAATGATGTGTCTCAGCTCAGAGTGACATATAACATGTACAAAGCTGTCTACACTGTGGCACATGCACTACATAATCTGCTTCTGTGTCAAAGAGAGCATAGATCTGCCTTGACACAGCAGTGTCCTGATATCCACAATCTGCAGCCCTGGCAGGTAAAATAATAAGCTTCACTGTTTGTACATTTAAAAAACAAATCCAGAGATTAAAATAATTTTCTTTTTGTGTTACATTATCTGTTTTAAAATTTCTTTAATATAGTATATTTTAATACTTTTAGTATTTTTGGATCTAGACCTGTTGTTATATGTTATGCCAAATCACATCTTTGCATTAATCTTCTCTAGGTAATTGAGGTCCTGAGAAAAGTGAATTACACAAACATGTTTGGAGATCTCATCTACTTTGATGAAAATGGAGACCCTGTTGGATCATATGACATAGTGAACTGGCAAAAAGGGGGAGATGATGTGCCAGTACAGTATATTACAGTGGGTCGCTTTGACTCCTCTTTACCCAAAGGACAACAATTAGTGCTGAACCAGAACAAAATCGTCTGGCATGGGGGAACAAACAAGGTAAAATTATGTAGCATCTAAATGTGTTAGTAGTAATCACCCTTATTCTGAATGGACTAATTTTAATATCATTATCATTTTATGGTGTTTAACAAGACATCTTTACATAAATGAATTTTCTTTTATCCAAGGCTTGACACACATTGATTTTAGACATTTCATGTATGGTTTTATTTGGTTTTCAGTTACTTGTCATTTGGAAAATGTAATCAAATAAATTTTATTTACACATTTTCCTTCGGCTTATTCCCTGCTTTATCAAGGGTTGCCACAGCAGAATTTTTCACACAGTGGATGCCTTTCCAGTCACAGCACAGCACCTAGAGTACAACCCGCTTCAGTGCTGGGATACATCCAAACACATGTCCATTCACACACTATGGAAAATTTTGTTATTTTAATTTACCTATATAGCATATCTTTGGACTGTGGTGGAAACAGACACAAAGAGAACATGCAAACTCCACAAAGGCATCCTAGTCCAGCCAAAAATTGAACCAACTATCTTTTTGCTAACAACATAATTTAATTGAGTAATTGTCTTTTGTTTGTTTGTTTATTTGATGTTGTTGCCACTATCAAGCATACAATCAATTGTCATAGTAATGCACCTGTTTCTCACAGGTGCCAGTGTCTGTATGCTCTGCTAGCTGTCCACCAGGGTACAGAAAGGTTAGACTTGAGGGTCAGCCTGTGTGCTGCTATGACTGTATGCTTTGTGCAGAGGGGAGTATCAGCAACACAACTGGTATTATCAGACTGGCACACACAATGATTGTTATTGCATCAGTTAACTTTTATCAAAACACTTCTTTACTTTACGCTCTTTATGCATCGATTTTTAGATCAAGCTGAATGTTTGCTTTGCCCTGAAGACTTCTGGTCCAACAAGCATCGCAACTATTGTGTTCCAAAGGAGATTGAGTTCCTTTCATACTTGGAGGCTTTCGGTATGGTCCTGGCAGCTATTGCCATATTGGGTGCAGTTGCTGCAATAAGTGTTGGTGTGGTCTTCTTCCGTCATCGTGACACACCCCTTGTTCGTGCTAATAACTCAGAATTGAGCTTTTTGTTGTTGATTTCTCTCACTCTCTGTTTCATATGTGCACTAACCTTTCTTGGTCAGCCATCACACTGGGCATGCCCTCTTAGACGTATTTCTTTTGGCTTAACTTTTGCCCTCTGCCTATCTTGTCTCCTCAGTAAGACCCTAGTGGTTCTTATTGCTTTTAAATCCACACTGCCAGGTAACAACACAGCTCGTTGGTTTCGCCCCCCTCAACAAAGATTGGGTGTGTTTATTTGCTCACTCCTACAGGGTGGTGTCTGCATAGCTTGGCTGACCACAGCATCCCCGTATCCAGTGAAGAACACATGGCTATATCGCGACCGGATTATTTTAGAATGTCATCTGGGTTCAGTTGTTTATTTCTGCTGTGTGTTGGGTTACATTGGGTGCTTAGCTGCCTTTTGCTTCATTTTAGCCTTTTTAGCTAGAAAACTGCCTGATAATTTTAATGAAGCCAAATTCATCACATTCAGTATGCTTATTTTCTGTGCTGTTTGGATTACATTTATCCCAGCTTATGTCAGTTCCCCAGGGAAATTTACCGTTGCTGTGGAGATATTTGCAATTTTAGCGTCTAGTTATGGTGTTCTTTTGTGTATTTTTGCACCTAAGTGTTATATCATTATTTTCATGCCGGAAAAGAATTCTAAAAAGTATCTCATGACCCAAAAATAATGTACTGCTCTAAGTCATGTCTACTAATGTTTGTCAACATGTATGTGTTTACATTTGTAGGTGTGTGTAATAACACTTATTATTATTATATAATAGTAAAAATAATAATGATAAATCATTATGTAGTAATAATATCGCTTGGCGTGTGACAAATATACATTCATACAATGACAGAGAGCACCAGTGTTCCAGTGAAAAACCTTGTTCCAGGCACAACCTTATTATCAAACCTATCAAGAATTGGCTTGCAAATTCTAGCAGAACATAGTATAATATTATGTGAAAATATAATATGATATAATCTAATATAATATAATAGTATGATTTAGCCATAATTATTTGTATTTATTTTGTTTTTATTGCACATAGTATTATGCTACATAAATCATGCACATAAGTTGTATGTATGTAATGTAAAACTGTAAATCTCATTCATATTACGAGGTTTGGACCATCCAAATTATCTAAGATTTCTTTGAAAAAACACAAAAAGTGATGATGGAAGTGTGTGGAACATAGGAGGACTTTGAGTCTACACAAAATTGTCTATAATTTATAGACAAAACATCTATAATTAATTTAATAAGATAGCAAAATAATAGCTGAAACATATTTGAAGTTTTTTAAAGTATCTTTGTCATTAGGACTGTGTAATGCTTTGCAGTGCTATGTTCAATTCACACTGTCAAAATTAAACAAATGAAAAATGCATTTCAAATTTCAACAACAGATAACTGTCACTCTGTTTATTTTTCGATTTCGCATGTTTGGGTATTGAATTTTAATCTAATGTCAGAGCAAACCTTAGGAAAAAAAATTAACTTTATTGTGATTTTTAATTTTTAATTTCTGCACTCGCAGTCGGGCCGTACAATTGCTGCCGAATGGGGTGCCTAGTTCTGGATTAGTGCGCGAATCAGCAGACCTACACTGCGTTTCATTCAGAAGAGCTCATCCCTATGCCCTAAACCCTTCGAATGGTTTACCCTCCGGAGTGACCGCTTCGAAGGGATGAAGGGTGTAGGGGACCAAATAAGCTTGTCTTTGGAACACATGTCTGCATAATCTGATGAGACAATATAGAGGTTTGTCACACTCTTTGAAGCTGAAGCCCATTATACATGCCTGGGATGAACAATCTGCATGCTCCACTTTATTTGTTTATTGATTTATTTATTGTACAGACTGTGTATGTTTGTATATATAATTTTTATTTGTTTTATTATTATTGTATTTAAAACTCAAAAATATTACACTACTTGCCTAAAAAAATACTATACTTACATTTATTTGTAAGGTCAAACTACAGTTGTCTTTCTGTGACAACATCCCTGCGCTTTACCAATTTTAAGATAGAAATTTGTCAACCTTTAGGTTAGACAAAAGGAAGGCCCTATGAAGTGGCGAGTTTTGAGTACTTTGGTTTGGAACGACTCTTGGATATTTTTGTTTCACTCCAAGGTACCCTTCAGATGGGAATTTATCTTATTTGGAACACACAGCTAGACCTTACTCATTGGCAGTGATGATACAAAAATTTAGATTTTTCTGACACGAACAAACATTGTCACCTATGTTCCCTGTGCATGTCTCAATTATCTCATGTTTTGTTTTGCAATCCATTGCATTATTGTCATGAACTGGACAGAACACAGAGTCAGAATTTGCTCAAACAGAAAGTTTACTAATAAACAAAGGCAGCTGCCGTTTGTCGGTCGTTGAAGATGAACGCAGGCTGGTCCTATGGCCACAGAAAGATTCTCCATCTGGACCTGAGCCGAGGGGGTTCCAAAAGCACTTAAAGTTTGGAGAGGACGCTGATGCTGGTGTGCACTGAGGTAAGGTGGTACTACTCCACACAGCGGAGAGGCAGCGCAGATCACAGGTGTCGCAATAGATGGTTACTTTACTTAAAGGTTCAGGACACCCTGGAGAACTTTTATTTAATATTAACAGATATGTGTGTGTTGAGCATCAGTTAAGACAATGTTAGAACCTGTCAGCTTTAATTGTGGGAAAAACTGGATAATTTTGAGCTTTTGTCAGCTAATTTCAGCTTCCGGGTTTAAAATGATTTTTGGGGCGGGATCAAAATCGGCGACGTAGCGCAGTACTGCAAGTGCAATGATGACGCGTCGGTTTCTCATTATTATTCATAGCGGAGTTTTCTTATCCTATGAGAAGAGCCGGCTGCTTAATTATTCATGAGAGCCCATGCTTTCCGAAGGCAAGACAGACCTGCCAGTTTCAAGCAAGCTGTGAGACACGGAGTCACGGACCAAGGGGCACGCAGTAGCCGTTCATGAAGGCTCATATGTGTTTGTTTGTTTCTTATCCAGCATATGAAACTCCATATACACTCACACTTATACACTATGCCAATTTAGCTTATTTAATTCAACTATACCACATGTCTTTTGACTGTGAGGGAAACCGGAGCACCTGTAGGAAACCCATGTGAACACGGGGAAAACATGCAAACTCCACACAGAAATGCCACCTGACCCAGCCAAGGTTTGAACCTGCAATCCAGCAACCTTCTTGCTGTTCAGCGACAGCACTACCTACAGTGCCACTGTGTCCAAGTACACCCGTCTGCAGCCCGCAGATCGGGGCGGGGCTGAATACGGGGCGGGGCTGCATATTGGGCGGGACTGAACATGTCGCTCCGCCTACAAGTTTTTCATTGGTTCACGGAAACATATTGACGTTGATGTAATGTATGCTTTCGATTCCGGTTTTCATCTCTGCATGGTAAGTACACGTCTTCTGTCATGTAGCCTAAATTGTTAAATTATAGTGCAGTACACCTCACGGGCTACGTATTATGTGTAATTTATTTAATTAAAGGCCTTTAAGGAGATATGAAGTTTTAAAGCCTTTAAAAAAATGTTTTCTGTGTTAGGGTTGGCGTTTTCCAGGTTGATCAAACAGTTGGTGGTTTTATTCACTTAGAAGAATAATGTAAACTTTAAAGAGTTTCGAGCAACACAGTCCATCACATGAAGTTTATTGATATCAAAGATAACAAAATATATTTTTCTTTGTGGCATGTTCTCTAATTTACATATTCTGGTAATGTTAATGCTAAATATGTACAATATAAAACTTGATTCTTAACTTACTGATCTATACTACATTCTGTTTGCAGATCATTTGCATATATATATATTTATCACTATGATTCTTGTGGAGCATATTCTCTGTTTTATTTTATTTTACCTCAGTTCTTTCTCTCTTTTTGTTTTAATAGATTTTTGCTTTTATTTTATTTTTATATATATTTATTTACACTTCATGTTCTCTTTTTTTTTGTTTACTTTATAATCCATGAATGAAACTTATGCAAAGGGGAATGTGAGGAGGGGGCATGCCTAGTACAAACATATTTAATTCTTTGAGTTTAACTTTAATATACTGTATGTTAAGCGACATGTTGATGATTGTTGGTTATTTTGCACAGATGCCGCCTGAGATCCTGCAGTGTATCCTACTGAGAGTTGTCACACAGGATGGTGATGGGACATTTCTGCGACTCTCACTGACATCCAGGACCTGCTGAGCCATTGTTATTCATTCATTCATTTTCTTGTCGGCTTAGTCCCTTTATTAATCCGGGGTCGCCACAGCGGAATGAAAAAACCAACTTATCCAGCAAGTTTTTACGCAGCGGATGCCCTTCCAGCCGCAATCCATCTCTGGGAAACATCCACACACACATTCACACACACTACGTACAATTTAGCCTACCCAATTCACCTGTACCGCATGTCTTTGGACTGTGGGGGAAACCGGAGCACCCGGAGGAAACCCACGCGAAGGCAGGGAGAACATGCAAACTCCACACAGAAACGGCAACTGAGCCGAGGTTCGAATCAGTGACCCAGCGACCTTCTTGCTGTGAGTTGACAGCACTACCTACTGCGCCACTGCTTCGCCGAGCCATTGTCAGTAATCCAAAATTCAAGAAGCAGGCTGTGTGTGTGTGTATACATGATAAAGAGTACAGAATATGCCAAGCACTTTTTACAGTACTCCGTTACTTTTAACTTGTGTCTTGCTTAAATATGTACTTGATTTTTTTTTTAGGTGTCATCAATCAGAGTGCCATATACTTTGACAAAGTGCTTTGTCAATTGGGTATGGCGAGAGGGGGGTCCTGCAAGCATTCTGTTCAACAAATGACTTCCCAATATATTGCTCAGCAGATTGTTACTTCTGTTGTGGAATTTCCCAGTAAAAAATATATAATTGTTTTTATGTTTATTAAAGGTAATAATAATTACCAACTGCTGTATCTTAAATTATTATTATTATTTTCTATAAATTGTCAGTCTTCCTTTTGTACATGTGTGCATGTGCATACACAGATGTTCTGTAGGTGAGACATCTGACATCTAAAAAAAACACAGATCTGCCAGATTTTTACTTGAACCGAGAAAGAGGGACTTTCAACAGAGTGTATTGCTTTGTGTTGATGGTTTTACTGAAGATGAAGTTGGTATGTATTTATCAGCATTTGTCAAATAAAAAATTCATAAGTTTACACGAGTGCTGCACTTCTTAATGTCAAATTTATTTTCATTAATTTGTGTCCTGATAGATAAGTAATAAATAAAACTGTCCATTTGTGCCACCCTATTAATATAATATTAAGTGTATTTAATATTCTAATCAAATGAAATAGAATAACAATGTTGTATGTGACTCTTAATAACCAAACAAAATCATTATAAAAAATATTTTTAAAGATCTACAGTGCAGAAATGGATCCAGAAGGGTTGTTAGAAAGTGGTATTAAAGTATTTACCCTGTATTTACAAATATTACAAAAATAAAACCAAGAAGACTGCATTTTAATTCAGTAATATTAGATTATAAAATTATTTGTAACTTGTTAATTAAAATGTAGAACAGATATTAAAACCACCCAGTAGGTGGCAGCAGAGCACTGTCTTCATTCAAATGGAGAAACTGAACAAAACTTTAATGGATTAATAAATAATAAGTTATGAAATTGATTGCATCCATAGATGACACACCATGTAATATGAAAAAAATTAATAAAACAATTTACTCATGCTGGAACATTTACATATAACAGATAATATATGTTTATATTCATCGCAGCATCAAAGTAAAAATAAATCCATTATATGATGAAATGATCTGATTTAATAAGTAAAAAGGTTACAAACATATACTTCCCTTAATAAATAATATCTTATCCCTGCTCTTAATAAAACTCAAAGCAGTGCAGTATTGAAAGAGAAACAATTGGACACATGGCCAATATTTTGAATAGCCTTAAATCAAAGTATAATTTTAATAATTTCAATTGTAAATTTTCCAGAGAACTCTCCCATTCAAAGGTAAAAAATTAAACTGAACTAAAAACACTGCATTTTTATTTATTTATTTTTTCAGACTCTGTCTTTATTTGTTGTAAATATGCAATAGCATTTTGATGCAAAATAATAAACCAATAAAATATCAGAATTAAAATCACTGCATTTCTTAAGTGACACCATTGTGAAAAAAGTCTTTTGAGTCTTTTATAATATTTTTTAGCAGGAGAAATACCCATATGAAATTCACATAACTGTTAACATAATTAACATATAAAACACTCAGCAAGAATGTCCACTTTTGTGTATTTTTGTGTTTATTAACAATAAAAACAATATTTAAGAAGTTGTAAATGCATTTCC